ACTTAAATTTAGTGCCTTTGATTTTTCTATTCAAATTTACAAAGACTTTCTCGTTGGCTTTAGAAAATCAGATACACCAGTCGCTGTTGTGCTGAATGAATTGGAACAGTAAATATATCCTAGAGCTACAATTAGCAACACAAAACAATTACACACACATACATATATGCTATTTTGCAATAACAATTTGCACACAATATCAGCTATTAACCTGTTAACCTGGCATACACATAGTACGCCTTCCGCGTTATTTGACATTAAACAAAATTTGGTACTCATTCATAGTGGAAATAAGTAACATATTTGGAGGAAATTTGTCTTTCAGCTTTACTTTGATTATGTTTAATTCAAGTATTATTCATATAATCACTTTCTGCAGGAACTGTCAGATCATACCTAAACTGTTGATCCTTTTCTTTGCACATCAAAGATGCAAATGAAATTTATTTTTTCTTGTCCACCAATTATAATAATAGATATTATATCTAATATAACAGATAAAAGTTGACAAGCATATTCAGAATTATAGTCGCTGCTGATTAAGACTTTTGGATCAAGGCAAATCATTTAGTGGTTTATTTCACTCATGGGAGCTTTAATGTAAATGACACTATGAAAAGTTTTGAGGAAAATGATAAGCTGTTGATGTTATCAAAATGACTAGACAAACTTTGCTCATCACTGCACTCTTTAAGAGATGTAAAATCTTTGTAGCAACATTCCCGAGGGAAGAGAGATATGCTTTTGAAAGTAATATCACATGAACTCTCATATGAAATAGTTTCCGAATAAATGAAAACATGCTTTTTTTATTATAAAACCCAGCAACTTTAAGGATATTTGCAAGCAGTGACAAGATTTGTTCAAGCAAGTATTTTTATTCCTGTCATTTTATTTAAAATGTGGAAATTCTAAATCAAATCACAAAACAAAACAACAGAAATGTGTGATTAAAAGCAAGTAATTTGGGATGAATAAATCCCAACTTTAAATCCCCACAAAGGCTGTGGACCCACTGTGCACTATAATACAGTATAAACAACATGAAAATAATTTCCTTGATATTAATGTTGTGGTTTATCATTTATTACTGAATTGCTAATTACTCAAGATGAATAAGAGTAGACATAAATGGGATTCAAGTTGTCTGAGATCATTCTTATGGAATCCTTTTTGTTTTTATAGAAAACACCTCACAGTTAATGTTAAATGAAATATTTCTTTTGCTGAAATGAGTGTATTCTGGCTACAAACCCTCAAGACATGGAAGAAAGCCTACTGTATTTGATTGAACCTACATTCCCTTAAACTGGAATCTGAAAAACATGTAAACGTAAAAAAATGTCAGCTTTTTCAACTGCTAAAAAATACAAGTGAGATATTTAATATAGGACCTGGACGCAACATCCCACACCGTGCAGCAATCTCTGCAGTGACACTTCAGCCGGCTCTATGGGAGTGATGACGGTGCCACCAAAGGACAGGTGAGTAGTTGTAAGCACATGTGAACAAGATAAACATGACACAGAGCACAGTACCTCTAAAGCTTCTTGCTCACACTGGCGACTGGACGTGGTTCGTTGGCTCTCAGCCTAGTGGGATAGTGTCAGCACTCACAACATTGACATGCTTGTGAGTTTTTCCTTTCAGCTTCTCTAAACACTGCTGTTAATCCTCTAGATGATCACATTATGCCACCTCCCCTGTCTTGGCACTCTTACTCCGCAAAAGACAGCAATTTTGTGGATTACAGTTGGTCTTGCTGCCAGAGCCATGATAACTGACATAAGACCTGTTTATAAATGCATATACATCAAATTTTTGTGTGCAATTAATTACCTTTAACTGTATGTGGCTTTCTAACTAAAGCTTAATTGACTTTTCAATATCACAACAGAAAAATACAAATTCATATGGATAAACATACAGTTTACATAATTATAATACCTAATTAAATAAATGATCAAGAAAAGCAGACTGAGAATTTGTGGGTTTTCTTTCATCCGATTAACCGGAATATAAGTACCAGTTGGATGTCAAGCCCAGGATAAAAAGCCATACTGTAGATCACTATAGGTACTGGAGCTAATCTTTCATTTTAATGCTTGTTTTATTTGAGTCCCGAAATAAGTTGTCAGTAGGAAAGCCACAAATAAATAAATGAACATACTACTGTAATTTTTACATTTTGAATAGGTAAGAAAGAGCTTTGAGTTGAGTGTAATAAGGCGGCTATATAATGCGCATGCATAATTTTGTATTTCCAAGGAATAACGTCAATATTCTTATACAGTTAGAGTGTATAAATGATTAAACAGGCAAAATATAATTTTTTGGAACTCCTAGTCTCTAATAGGAAGTAATAAATGGGGGTTGGCAATGGTTTAGTCATGCTGTGACTATCATGAGCAAAGCCATGTGCCAACCCAGGTGATCTTATATCATTACAGTTCCTTTTTCAGATAATGGAGGCACAAGACCAGTTAAGGTACAACACTGGTAGGGCCAAGCCACTGCTTTCAATTAGCAGCTGTAGCTTTTGGATTAAGCCTGTGTTTCTTTGTCTGGCAGATACATTTTGAAAAGTGCCTCCCTCAATCTGCCACTACCATATTTGTTAACCAATAAATGAAGCATCTGTAACGGATCCAGATATGTGGAAAGATACAGTATTCACTTTGATAAGTCCAATGCTCACTATCCAAGAGATTTGTAAATGCATCTACCTGTCTAAATCACTCCTCATTGTATTAAGCTTCTATATAAACAGAACTTTCAATTTGGGGAAACACTGAACCTTGGACACAGAATGCTTTGAGTCAACATCTGAAAGAGGAAGACAACTAAATGAGGTAGGAGAACCAAATGTGTCAGAACACTCAGCCTATGTTTGTTGCAATTAACTTTGTAACCTAAAAAAGAGCCAAACAGATTAAGGCCATTAAAACTGGACTTGATATTTCTGGTTCTGACATAAATGTCGCAATTGTATGAGCTGAGTCTATTATACAGACCCCTTCTGTTTTAAGGTGTCTCCTACAGTAAATGCTTTTGCAAGAGGCTAAAGTGCCAATGAGAATGCCTTACTTACCTGAGGAGAATGCATGACAGCTGGCTTTTATTCTGACCTTATGGTTTTTCACCTATTTTTAAAATAATTTCTTAAACTAACAGATATACTTAAGTCCCCCAGTCTTTGCCCTCAAAAGTGATCAAAAGCTTTTTCATGAATCCAATGAAAACAGTAAATCCATCCATTGAGCATGCAAGAATTCTGAATTAAAATAAGAAGAGTGACATTTAAGAAAGAATATCTGTGTTGAGCACTAGAGGTTTGGTAGATCTCTTGCTGGAATCTGTTTTCTAACATTTATTTTAAAACTTCACTGGTTTCAGATGGACAAAATGAATGGCCTTGTTCTTGAGAATACTGTAACCTCTAGCTGAATCTTGCTTCTTCTGGACCTACGAGGTGACTTATGCCTTATTTAATTCATAGAATAAGCTTAAAGTAATTAAATACAAGAATAGTTCATTTTTGCTATTGTTCTGACACATTTGAGAAATTAGTTTCTATTATATAATAAAAGCAAAAATAATAGAAAAGCAACTCTGATGTACAGTAGTTATGCAGGGTAGGGATTAGTTAAACACCTCAAATCATCCAGAGGTGTCTTTGATTTGAAACTGAAGAGTCATTTAAATGCTATTGCGATTAATATTGTGACCACCTGGGACACAATAATAATAACATTATTTTGCAAGGAGCATGTTCCCTTATGAAATTTATTAATTATGGGAACTCTTTGATGGTAACAAGGTGGGGGTTTCTTTGTACTGCAATGCTGGCTAATGAAACAGTAGTAGAGACATTGAAGCTGAATTCTTCAAACTGACAGATTTTTCACAGGGAACTGCTGTAGGGCACACCAAGTGTGACAGTAAATTGCCTGCTCTGACATATTTTTCATATTATTAATCTGACAACCAGGCTACACATCTTGTTTTAAGTCACAGATTATAGTTAAAAGAAAATGTTTTTTTTTATCAGTAAAGGGAAATTAGATGTGCCAAGAGATATTCTGGCCAATATCTGGATTTACTCAAAAGAACTAACTGAAGATATTTCAATGTCTCTTGACCAAAGGTGCCTATAAATGCAATTTATTGGCCAGCACAAACTTGGCCACTGTTTCAGCACAGGCTGAGAAGCAAGACTGCCTTCCTACTGATCTCATAAATTGTTTTGTTAAGAACAACGTAACTAGTTGTCAGATGTTCCATCTATTTTGCAGTAGAAAATCTAATGAAATGTTAATATATTACCTTCTTATGTGGAAAGTTACTTGTGCTGAAGAATGCACACATCAGCTAGGGGATATGTTATGACGGATAGCATTCTGAATGCGTCATCGAGTCTGTTCATGGTTATTAAAAACAGATTTCATCAAAGAAAACATCTGCAACTTCTGCACTGGAAGTCTGAAATAAAAGAGCACTTAGGGGGCAGTGCTGTTCATGATTCATTAAGAATGTTAATAGGAGAATAATACTATTCAGAAACAACAGAATTAAGGATGTAACAAGATGTAGCGACTCTTCAACAAACACGATTTAATACATTACAATTGCTAAAGCATTCAGCAAAATCTCCAAAATAAATGCAGCACGCAATGCAAGATAATGCTGCTCTGCTAAAGTGCAAGTGGGAATAATATTGTAGTTTTACATTTTGCATTTACACTGCTTCGATACAGAACACCTACAAATATGCACATGTGGTTCTAAAACATGCTTTTTTTACACACATTTCAAACATACCTCACATGTGGTGGTCTGTTACCGCATCTCATTATTATCAACCATCAGCTCCTTCTAATTCTCTTCATGTCAGTTTTCATAGGTATATCAAAGATCCTGTCGATCCTCCTCTTCCGAAAGAGAAGCACAGTCCCAAAAATGATTGCGATATGACACTCAGTTGCACACAAAATTCAGCAGGGATTTCAAATGAGCCTTTTATTCATATTGTTACTGTACAGGGTCTGTGACTAATAATGGGAATAATGGTTTGTAGAGTTAATATAACAAATCTACAATAAGGGGCTTTCTGTTATGCAAAGTATAACTATGCATAGTGCTGCAAATGCAAACCCTAGAGCATTATTTTCTCTTCCTAAGCCATTTAATATAATTCTTTAATACAACAATGTCAATACTTGTACCCTTTAACATTTTTGATAGTGCAGAAATTATAATTCCTTAACAATTTACTTGGGAACTGAGATGAACAAAATGCCATTAAGCTGGAAATATAAGGCTAAATATTTACATGATAACAAATGAAATATGGTTATAATTGAGAACAAACTGGAAATGGGTCTTTTTCTCATTTAAATGGAAATGCTTACAAAAGAAAACAATTGTGTAAAGGTTGTATTTCCATGTGAAAAAATACACTAAACAATTCAAATTTACATTATTTTTATGACATTCAGTCTGTGTACACAGCCCATTAAAATAATGCCTTTACCATGCAAATGCTAGCACTTTCCTTCATGAGAAAAAACAACAACAAATTACAATGATTCATAATTATGAAGGATAAAATTATAAAACTGTGAAGATAAAAAAAATCCAATCCAACCACAGTTACAGCGTAGCCCCCAAAATAGTAAACTTAATGTTACAAAAACATGTTAGAAACGAGTAAAAAAGCAGTTCAACTAACACCGTATTGCTTTTGATTTTAGTGTAACTACAGCTGAAACTTTAATCTGTGATTCCAAACATTTTATATACTGTATGGCTCTGTTGCACTTAACATCTTCACTTGCAATTTAGAATATTGGATTCAAAGACAAGATTTCAAAAGTGTTCATCTGTGTAACCTAAAAGCTGAATTTCACTGAAATTATAAGTCTACAATTAGCTTTACTGTAACAGAAAAGTCAGTTTCCTGTTTTAGCAGACAGAAAAGCAATGCTGATATTTACAAAAACTACAGTAAAGACATTTCTGTACATCAAGAAGATTATATTATCCCCTGAATCACTGATTCAGGTGTCTACATTTCAAGTAGGGAGCTAAAATCAGACCTGGTAAAGAAAGAACACCAATCTTGAGAAAAAAAATAAATTAAAATTTAATCTGAAAGTGCAATATTGCTTTTAATAAACCTGCTAGTGTTATAAAGTGCACACCAAAAAACTAAAAACATAGTGCATGAAGAAGTTTACAATCCATGCTAATATTCTACATAGCAGCACAAACATAAAAATGGTAAAAAATAAGAGTGAATTTGCCAGACTCAACACAAAGTGAGAAACAGATTAATCACAGAATGTATCTAAAATGTCAGGGTGAATGCTTCCAGTTTTAAAAGGTCAAAATTATGTGAAAAGGCCTCCTTATTTACTTTTTCTTCAGCAAGCCACAGAAGAAAACTCAGCTGGAAAGTGATCATTGAAAGGCATCTAGGACTGTATGTCTATTTGTGTGTGGAGGGGAATGATTGTCACAGGCCTCAGAAGACACAAAGTGGGCAGCCTCTGGTTACATGCAGGGTCTGAAAAACTTTGCAAAGCATGAATTGTGCAAAACTGTGTAATTTTCAAAAACATACTGTAGAACTATATAATGTGGCTCTTAATGTGCTTAATTTTATGTACATTTGAAATTTTGTTCATACCACAATTAATGCAATAGTCAATAAAAGCTTTTACAATGTTCAAGAATGATGCATTTACTTTCAGGACAGCATTCATGGGTGCATTCAGTTACTCGCTTTTAGGAATCAGAATATTTTTTAAGGTTAGATGATTCGTTATAAGAATGATTGAGGTTGCATATTTAAATTTTAATAAGCAGAGCTTTTTTTTTAGAGCATATTAATTATCACCCTAAAACAAGAAAATGAGATGAAACAAAAAAAAATCTTTGCAGCTTCCCTTATTAAAGTTTCTTACTCACTGCTGATTAAATTTCCTTTTGCTGAATTTCTCACAGGCAGCTGCACAGAATGCTTAATGAAGGAAAATGAAAAGGAAAATTTCAGAAATGTTTGGCAGTTAAATTGGACATTAATAAATGCATTAGCTTTGTTCTGATAAATCATTTTTGTTGGTGCTTTGTGAACAGCATAAATATGCTAATCCATTCAGAAGGTGTATAGCATTTTACATGAAAGATATCACCTAAGCTGAACTTCATGAGCAATGGTGATTTCTTCTGCAGAATGGAGCATGTTCCAGGTTATCTATGGACTTCTAATAATATGAGAAGAATGAAAATCAGTCCCCGTTAAACATATATTAGTATGGCATTGAATTGTTCTGTAAGAAGTTTCCTAAGCTTATTAAGAATGAATAACACATGCTTACTGAAAATCCCCAAAGACTATTACTATTACATGGAGCTTAATTTAATTGTGCAAGCGCATGGATTCGTAAACTACAAATGAATTGGCTAACACTATAACAAGTTTAACTTTAACTTGGTAAAACATGGATGACAGGTCAGCCTAAAGCCTATTGCTAAGTTATTCATCCAACACGTAATGTTCTTCAACATTTCAGCCAGGTTAGTTTTATGTGCCTAGCGCTTAAAATAATATTCTTTCTCTTTGTCATCAGCTTCCCATTCATTTTTCTTTGTACTTGCTGCACTGCATGTTCAGGAATCAATGTCTTGTGTTTTATGATCCCTCATCTGTTCCTCCTTGCAGCAGTTGCTAGAATGTGACGAAAAATGACTGAAAGTATGAATATATAAAAGAATTTGCCTCAGGGTCTCCACACTGATTCATCTTGTGGAAGTCTCCGCCTACAGTGCAGGATGAATCCTAGAGCCCAGTTTTTGCAGGGTACAAATCCTGGCACAGCCACTCTCGACCTATGATTGGAAGACCCAGGTGCTGGCAGGATCTAAGTGGGGCACAGTGGGAGTAACAGATCTTCAGCTACAACACCGGGCTGCCTATTTGAAAGCTCTGTCAATCCTCCATTTGGCTTTTTGGTTACCAGAACACAGTGAGAAGAAAAAAAGCATTTGGCTTGACACCTCTCTCTGAGCGCACCTGCATTTATACTCTATGTGTAGTTCTGCAGAGATGACCTGGATTACATACAGTAGCAACTGGAAGACTGGTAACAATTGTATATACAATGTAAGGAGGAAGGGATAATGGATAGCATTTCAAAAGGAAAATAAAACTTATTTTTATTTTGGCCAATGTGATCAATTTATTGCTTTAGTAGCCTGACCTGGGTTTTTCATCCTTGGTTTTGTTGCAGAAAAGAAAATAACTAAATAATATTCTAGAATTCAGAAGCTCCTCAACATCCGTAAAGTTCAGCAAACGAGCAGCTGTAAAAAGCAACCAGATATGATACGCTTGAATCATTTCCCAAGCAAAAGTACAAAAAAATAAACAGGATTACACCCCAAAAACTTATGGAAAGTATCAAACTTCAGGCAAAGCTGTTATTAGTAAAATATTAATAGAATAAATGATTAATTATTATAATTAGCTAATAAAGCATAATTATCAATAGCAATTCCTACTGAAGATATCTGTAAAATACATTTTGAAAATGACAACTTTTAAAAGGTTCTTAAATTTTTTACTCTTATCAACACCTTTGGACCGCTGAGAAATCAAGTTTAAAATACAAAACAAAAAATATAGAGACAACCTTTGGTTTATCATGGACCAGTTGCCATGTCAACAGTAACTGGTAAATGAAAGAACCCCCCTTTCAATCACTTCCGAAGAATTCTTATATTGAAAATTAAGGCCAACCATCTGGCCATAAATCTGATAGATGAACAGCTATAATCTTAGAGCTGGGGTTGCAGAACTTTCTTAGTATGCCGATGCCAGGATAACACAAAATAAAAATATACAGTATATATATTGGACGCTTTTCCAGGCATGCTATTGTGAAACTTTAAAAGAACTGACTCATTTTCAGCTTCACATTTATTATAATATTACAGAAAACTAATCCGAAAAGGTTGAATTAATATTGACTGGTTTTATTATAATATATTTACAGCCATAGCACATTTATTTAAAGAGAGGTGATAATTTGTGGTAAAGCTGAGGTAAAAATCTGAAAAACACCCAAAGTAAAAGCTACTGTAAGCACCTTTAGTCTCTCACTTTCCCATCTAACAGCTGTACAGTACTCTACTGCCTGCACGGTCAGTTTCCTTGGCAACAGTAACATGTCAATGAGATTTGATATAAGTTACTGTAGCTTAGCAAGAGAATCATTAGGAATACAGAGTTACTTCCAGACATGGGTGAAACAGTTTAATATGCCATTTTAGTGACATTCCCTTAAATGTTATTTGCAAACATCGGAGCCCTTTCACAGATTATTGACGAGATTGAGAAGCAGAAGTAAAAGATGCAGCATAAGGATCTGAAGTCAATTAAAAAAAAGTGGCAGATTAATTTCTGCAACACTGACATTTATAATATATCAGTGTTTCTGGTTATTTTTTATTATATTCATCTTTAGACTCCAGTTACTCTCATATTTGTATCAAATAAGTGGTTTAAGTACTTAAGCACTAATTTTATTTGAAACCTTTAATTCAGTAAAAGCTGTGGGAATCTATGCAGTTCTTTTCTGCTTTCACACAAAATGCACAAAGCTCCCCTACCTTTCTCCCCAGCTGCACTGCAGAAAGAAAATGGATCAGGGTGCTCATATGTTTCAGGAGGGAGACGAATTGTCTCGACAGCTTAAAAGCAGCTCATCGCCACTACAGAGCACAGCGCTTGACTCAGGCAGTGCTCAACAATCATGTAAGATACGGCAGCAGAATAAATACTGAAGCCTCAGACACTTTCATGGTAAATTCCAAACAGCAGTAAATACCGCACATAAAAATGCAAAAATTCTGCCGCCTTTGTCGCTATAAAGGGCAACAGCTGTCATTTCCCATAGAAGTGCACCCTTCTCAGGGTGAATTAGGCTGGAGTGCTTGTATGTCTTACATTCGGGGAAGTGTTGGTTCTCCATGATAGGAAAAAAAAAACATTTTAAAACTTCCAGATGGGTCAAACTGTCTCATACATTCCCACCATGCCAGATCATTTTAATTCTGTTCACAGATTAGTGGTCTTGCAAATCTAAAATGTAGATAAGGAAAGGCACTGCTTTTTGATCCTTCTCCACTGGCACAGATCCCCTGGGCTCACACTCAGCCAGTTCCATGGCTACTGTAGTCAAATACGCCCTTCTTGAAGAATGGGGAGAACTCGCAGATGGTGTGCTTTGACAACTGCAGGCCAGTTTTGTCTGCATGCAGGGGAGATGTAGGAGAATCGAGCATCACTTTAAAAAAGTTCCTGAGGTACAGCTGTCAGGGGAAAAAAAAGGAAAGAAAACAGAATTAATGGAAACTTCGGATGCAAGGCAAGACTAGGTTGAAAACTGAAAAACTGTAAGGGTGAGAAGCAACAATGACAAGGTGAATATGAGAAGTGTAATATGGCACCAAACAGATTAAGGTAAGGTTTGCTTTCAATGACATCTGTTCCTGCATAAATTCAGCTTTTCCTGGCATAATATGTGGACTGTACAGAAAAGGAGCTTAATCAAAGATACAAAGCAGATGTATATTTCGAAGCAAGATGCTAATACCAATTCACTTGACAGGCCACTGCTTCATATACTAATTTAAGGATGTTAACAAGGTCTTTCATCTGCAGCTGTGGCATTTTAAGTGCTGAGGCCATGGAGCTCTACCGATTGGCATGCCTGTTTAAATGAAGAGTGCCAACACTTAGACAACATAGATTTGACAAGATGCTTATTCAATAGAGGAACAAAGCAAAGCAGCTACTCTGATCACCATTTAATCAAAGATAACACAATTGATCACTTATATTGTCCATTGTATTAACAGAAATTAAAGACTATATTTGATTCACAAATAATTGTTTCGGAAACCCGTGCTATATAATCTATTCTGAAATTAAACAACTTTCAGAATGAAAACCCAAGATCTGGAGAACATATTTTAGGCACTTCTATTAACATTTTAAGACTCTGTTGCCACAACTCTGTAATCCTACATTATTAATTTGAGCTTCTAAACGAGACTTAATTAAGTTATCCAAGACCAAATAATTAAATTACAGGTTAGGTCAAAGTACTACAACAGCAAATAGAATCAAGGTTACTTTATTCCCATCTCTTACTGAGGAACAGCACTTTTTGGTAAATGGCTTTAAAGACCAGGTACAGTACATAATAAGTCAAAACATTAAGCTACATGTTAAGCATTTACTCCTGTTCCCAAGATCTAATGAACAATACCATACTTATCCAACAAAACATGTTTTTTCTTGTAATGATTATAATAATAAGCAGGATTCCTGAAAATTCAAACTATCAGAAATAACCCTCAACTTTCATCTGCCTCGATCTTTCATAGTGGGATATCTATGCACACTTTCAGTATAAACATATTGAACACAAAAAAAGAAGCAAGTGCTTTCATCCCATCATTATGTCCTCTGAACTCACACTAGTTCTATTAGTGTTTTAGGAAGGCAAAACCCTAATCTCACACCAGGCAATATGACTTTAGTGAACAAATTGGTAGTAATTACTTCCAATACAGAGAGTCTGTATACTTAACAGTACATGATGGAAAAAACAACTGTGCTTTGCTTAGATTCCATAGCTACTGGTTATGTAATGTGCTGACAGACTTCATAATCAATGGGATTTCAGGGTCAAAATGCTAAGAGTGTTTAGAGATTCTTTGCAAGCTCGGCATACAATACAACATTTCTGGAACAATACTGTATATGTAATATGCTGTTTCCAGAGCTAAACAATCATATGTTTATTATTAATTCATTTAGGTCAGGCAGCTTGCTCACTTGTATAGCAATTGTATCCCCACCTGGGACTTGAACTCTGACCCCCTAGGTAGAGGTCCAGAGTCCCGACCTTTGTTACACATTGTTTCCCCATACAGATACAACAAAACAATTCACAATACACTCTTTCGGTACACGTTTGATACAGTAGCAGATAATATAACAAGCAGAATAAAGCAGATCTCCTCATAACTTAGTACAGACATGACTAAAGATATGACATGACATGAAGTCAAACTTGGCAACAGACAGCAGGTATGAATTTACTGTTTTCTGGACAAATTCCTATCTTGTCCATGAATGGAAAAGGAGGCTTTTCTGACAGCACCTTCATTAACAGGAGTGTAAGGTTTCCATTTGTACACTTACAACTGTGTAGAAATGTGCATGTCACCATGGAGTCACCAGTACGTTTTGCATCCTGTCAAAGCTGTGAGTTAAAGTACATGTTTGTGAAGACAGTTTGCAGACACCTACATGAGGATACAAAGCTCTGTCTCTTAAAATTAAGTTACAGGAAGATAACATCTTACAGATATTGCTGCCATTTCAATTTTCAGATGTGTAATTAACTGAGGTATAATTAATTAATATGATTAATTTAGTACCATTGTCAAATTGAACAGCACACAGAGGTGACAATGATCAGCTGGAACTGATAGAGATCATTACAATTAAGTGAAAAAGGGTATTTCTTTTTGCCTGAATGTTTGCTTACTAATTATGAATGGTTGCTGGCATCATCTTATAGCTTGCTCTCACCAGATCCCAAAATCTAAGCAGTCTGAGCCCATTTAGTACTGGGTTGACAGGCAGACATCTAAAGAAAAGCATATTACTACAATCAGTAGGTGGTGAGCTTTCCTCTGGACCAGAATTTGAAAACCAATACCCCTGTAAGGCACCCAGGTAGGTACAACACTATCCAATACATAAAGCACTTTAAGATCCTTTTGTAAAAGTGCTATATAAATGCAAGAGCTTTTAATTGTCTTTAAAGAAAGTTCACATTATTTAATTTAAGCAACATTAATCATTAATCAGAGATAGCTTGCGTGAAGAGAAAACCTGAGGCACAATTGTTATCTATTTCTGTAATACAGTTAAACTATAACTGGTGTTTTGCAATTTGAGAGATGTGCTTGCCAATGTTATATTATTGTATATACTCTAAACCTCAGAAACACGAAATTCAAGGATCCTGGAGCTCATCTCTGCGTGAATATTGTTGAAAAAAAAAGATTCACCGAAAAATAGGTTTAAATGGCCAAATACTTCATTTTCTATGTGAAATGTGAAACTCTATGCATCTCCATGTCAATTGAGGTCAGAAAATATTCATCATAATTTTCCAAAATGCCTGCTGTTTCTTGATCATTTTTCATAATATCAACATAATCCATTAAGTATAGTGGCTAGGCAGTTAAGTTTCCCCAGTTTTATCAATGCTTTTGAATGATCGTGGGAAAATCTGGCTCAGGTCACAAATGAGATTTTGCACTCTGTGACTATGCTGAAGTTACTGTGCATGGAGACACAAGTACAGCTTTCCGAATTATCCATCCAGAACTTCATACGAGTACAAAAACACACAGAGAGCATTGAGGGGCAAAAGAGAAACATTGTACCAATGTTTGGTATTTTTCTTTTTTAATTTTCTTTTAAACTTTTAGAAATAGAAGAATGACCAGGGCAGTTTTGGATGGAGTGGAGCAGGGCAAGACTTGATATCTTATTGGAACAGACAGCACAACTAATGAGTAAAGACTGATTCACAGGAAGAAAGAAAATCACTACCAATTGTTTTTATTTCAATTAAAATAGTACTGGATCACATATAGAAACTGATTTAACTTGGCAGTTTGTAAATTAAAACACAGTACAAGGTTAACATCATTACTTCAAAGATTTTCATGTGGTTATCACAAGTAAAAAAGCTAATATCTAGAGCCTTAGTAATCTGAAAATGTTCAGCTGTTTTTTTCTGTTTGTAATGCGGTCATAAAACGTTTTAACTGTAAAAGATCAAATGGCAAAGCTGTCTTTAGAAAAAAGTTCTATTTTAAATTTGATGTAATAAACATTTAAATGTAGAACTGGTGTTTTATTTTAAAAAATGCATTGTTTTATTTTTAATGACACCAATGTATGCAATATTGTTTCCGGATACAGAGATGTTTTGAAATATGAATTCAAATTGTTTAGCATTGTTGAAGATTAACACATTAACCACTTGCACATATTTAATAATTTGCATTTTTTTATCTGATTTTAAACAAATGTAGAAGATCTCTGACTTCTTAAAACATAAAATGAAAACAATTGATGTACTTAACTGATGTGAATGCTTCGCTAAACAAATAATAAAAACATAATTATCTAGATTCTGTAGAAGTTTTAGTTTTTGTATATTTTTTACTATCTGTCACATAAAATGGTGTTGGTTATAAACTACACATACAGTACCAGCAATTTAATAATGTTTCCTAAGTTCCTTAATATTACTTGAAATTCCTTAAGAGTTGAGAGCATCCATGAAGGAAATCAATTATTTCTTCCCCAAGCCCCAGAAAGCCTAAAATCAGCAAGACATGTCAGAAATTTCCAGAAGATGACAGCAGAAGAACTGAGTTTATCATGCATCCCTGGACCAGAAGTGACAGACTGTTATATGTTGCAATGTGCACGACACAAGGCTATCAAAGTAGTTGACACATGTCACCCTTGTGTCATGACTTAACGGGAAACAGCTTCCTTTGGTAAAATCAAAATGAGAGACGATGATTGATCACCAGCATTGGAGACAAAACAAACACTAGTGCAGAGTACCTTACATCCTAGTCCACACATTCCAAGTTCACAAAAATGTTCTGGCATTCATGTGGCAAACTACTCATCTTCCTCTTACAATTTGGTACAACCAAGCGGAAAAAAAAAAACCCAACAAAACTACAAGGATGCACCATATGTGTAAAGAAAATCAATTCCTTCAGACTTCACAGGTTGAGTCAGTTAAAATGCTCTGTATCGCCTCATCTTTATGGTGTTCATCAGCCTATATATAAATGCATGTGCCTGAAGCCTATCTTAATTTATTTTCATTACAGCCAAGTTTGATTCTTGCTTTAATTTCATGGAAGCCTCTTTTTTATTTGGTATGGGAGTAATTCAATTTAAAATTACAAGTATGAATTAATTAAAGGATGATTCTTAATTCTAAAATATGTTTCCTGAAGCTAGAGAGCTGACATTTTAATTAACATCAGATTATTCATCTGATTTTCTTTCACAATTATATCCTCATCAATCATTTTCCTGATCTATATGTGCATCTATCCATCACAGACTTTACAAATTATAGCTCTGGAGTACCAATTGCTACTGTGATTTAAGGTGTACAGTTGCAAGCAATTTCAGGGAAAACTCATAGATACACCACTTACATAAACAACTTCAAAGCCCATGATTTTATTCATATAAACATTTAACAAACCAGTGAATTCATTCAGGGGTCATTTGAAGCAGGCTGATATTAGCCAGTGACTAGTGCCAGACAGTAATTGCAAGGTGTTTTTCAGATTCATTTAACTTGCAATTGAGTTCTGTCAACTTCATTGTTCATTATTTATGTGAAGTGAAGTATTAAAGTCAGACATGTTTATTATGTTTACCAACTTTAAAAAAGCTGTACCCACCACAGAGCCTTAATGAACCATAAGATGCATTTAACAAAAAAAAAGCAGCATTATCAGGTTTCAGATGCTGATCTGCATATTTAGAAAAGCTAACATATTTTGACACATCCAAGATTCAAGATCAAACCAGTTGAAAAAAGTGATGTAAGAAAACTTTTGAAGGATGTCCTTTTTAGCTCATACAGTACTTCAAACATTTCCCTGTATTGTCAGAAATCAGATTATTTTTTATGATCTCACTTTAACCTCATTAATCCTCATAACTCACCACCACTGAGCTACAGTACTTTGGAGGCTGAAAGCTGTTGGGCATTGAGACTGAAAGATTCTCAGTCCTTCAATATGTATACCCTCCAGAATGAGGCCAACTGTTGTAAATCCTGTGAACTAATGAGGCATTGAAGAAGTTACAACTTTTGACAATCCACTTAAAATCCCCAAGAGTTTTAAGTTGATACTACATAACATTACAGTTCTTAGTTTTCAAGCATCTTATAAGTACTATAAAACATCTACAGAATTTTACTACTACTATTACAATTGTAAAACTACACTATTATAATACTGCTATGTCTACTGCTACTACACCATTTTACTTTAATTCCAGTACTGCTGCTAACAATATGATACTAATCTCTGAAACAAATGAGGACTGCTCTAAAATGGAAGTTCTCAGTGAGACTGCACTTCATTATATTTGATCTCACAGGCTGCTAACCTCAACAACCCTCCCACTTATCACGATGACACTGCCAGACAAGTAACACGTTAGCCACCAGTGGTCAGGAAGGCTGTTTACCTGAAGAGATGTAGCAAAGCAAAAAAGGAAAATAATTGACCTATTAAGGAAGGAGCTATGAGGGCTGCAGGGGGCACAGTGTGAAACGCTGATGTTTGGAACTACATAAAATAGCTGCAAAAAATCCCTCAGTTTCTTGTTCTGTGAATTTGTGGAGGGCCCTACATGAAGGCTGCAATAAACATGGAGCGGGCACTGAGGACTTTCCATAGAGAAAGGGAAAGGAAGAACAGACTACAGAATGGAACCCATCTGGCTTTTGTTTTAATTGGCCAGACACACTAGACATGGCTGGTCAATCCCATATGTGCCTTATGTCTATAGGGACGGACGCACTGCTCACGAAAAATCTTCTGATAACAAAAGGTCTGAGCACAGTGTACTGTAGGTGACAGACTGTGTTAAGAGTCATCTGGACGCTGCAATAGATGTGCTCTGATGGACATCGTTACTGGGCTTTAATAGTGACATAGAAAAACACCTGCTATTTCTGACAAGCAGGCCTCTGCTTAATTAATCTAGAATAGCAGTGTGCTAGCACACCTGAAATATAATTATGCAAATAAGAGAAAATCAACTTTAAATTTCAGTGCCCTTTCAATGTAAATGTTTTAACCTTCTTTGATTGTTCTATGTTTACATTTTATGTCATTTTAACCTGGAAGAAATTCTAATGCTCTGGGTGCAATGTACAATATCTTTGCTCAGAACTGGCACTACTTCTTAGAGCACAGAATATCTGTCCACTCATGATCTCCAAGTTGTTTATTCCTGGTAAAGATCAGGGCCATTACGAGCCTACCCCAGAAGCACATGGTACAGGGCGGGGCTACATTATGGATAGGATGCCAATCTTGGACTATCACAGCCAGTGTTATCTTGATTTATGTCTTAAAATATTATTATTAACATAAAAAAAATCTCAAAGGGATACACAGAAAAAAAATCACATTTATTTTATAACTAGGTAAAACAAAACCACATCACCATTTAATGAACTGTCAAATAATGTTTGCTGTAATAATGTAATGCTTTGGTCAATGGCCAACTGCTGCCCTCTTCTGCAGGCTGTTAGACATGCCTAGCAATAAATGTGGAGTGATAACCCTAAGAGTGATAAGCCCAGAGAAGCAAATTGCTGTGTGACTGAAAAAGCTCTGCCGTCTGTACCTCCAGGTGAGTCCGTCTTTCAGCAATTACCCTCTCGTCTTTGTTTCCGAAGAGCTTCTTTGGAGGAAACTCTAAAGCAGCAAGCTGTAACAGAGATCAGAAGATAACATCAACCTTACTTGCCAAAAAATTAAACAAAGTTAAAGAAGGAATCACAGAGAGGGCAGAGGGACTGACAGCTGAAACAGACAAAAGCCTGCAGGCTATGTGTCACTTCTTCAGACCAAATTGTTCAATCACTCAAATGTGAGCTGGAATTGTCGCGGTCGAGCAGAGCCAGGTTTGACTGCTCGTGCTGACATTCATTTGAAAATAGAGAGAAAAAGGAAATGTATATGGAAAAGTATCAGCTGCATCTTTCTCATACAATTTTAATTGTGTATTTCTTAATACTGTAAACAGATTTCTGAGAACGTCTTGATCATGTGTACTTCATCATAAAATATACCTGAGAAAAAATGCATTCTTTGAAATACAGATTCAAGATGGAATTGAAATTGTCTCTTTCCTCTTGGTTCATTCCTTCATTTTTGTTACTTTGTTCTCTCCGCTTTCCACTATCAGAAGTTATTTTCAATGCATTATTTTAGTTTAGCATGTAAAACACCAAACTACAGTATACACACTGAATGAATAAAAGTCATACTCTCACATGGCAGGGACTCGCCCAGCTAAAACATTATTGAAAATGAATAAAACTAATTGTCTGTGGTCTCTAAGGACCATGCAGAAGAAAAGCAAAAGAAGGTAAATTTTAAACAGAAGGAAAACTTAGATCACACTGAAACTGAATAACATTATCTCATAATGAAAAAATGTAAAATGAGAACACAAGCAATATATGCTAGAATTACTTTCCTAGGAAGATTAAAATTCAGCTCAGATGGGTCATTAAACAGACAGTTAAGGCTCCCCAGGTAAACATCCAAGTTTTGCAAATTGCCTTAATTCCTTGCAAAATTACCCCATGCAGAAGATGCTAGATTAGTGAATCTCTCAGTAGCCAAGGTGGGCGCATACTAAAACCTGGTTTACACACTGTCCACACTCCCCAAAAATATACAAAAAATTATTACAAATAATTTAAGAACTGACTTTTTTGGGGAAATTATTTCTTAATTTGCATTCGAAATTACACACATTCTCTCAACTTTATTATGTTCTGATGGAATTCAGTGAAGTGAATAGATCCTGTTTTTCTCACCAATTCTTTGAGTTTAAAGTCTGGCAAAGAACAGCAACTTGAAACACTACTAGAATGCAATGTGCTTGTATATATTTTCCAACCGTGTTGTATTTAAATTGTGGGGATCGGGGATGTATTGCAAAAAACAACTTGAGCAAAATATCTTTGTTATACGCAATGCTTAATTTCTTGATTAGAACTCCTTGATTAGAAAAACAGAACAGAGACATGGAGGCACGAGACTTTTAGTGAAAGGTTTTCATTTTAACAGTTTAAAATATTCCTTTAGGTCTCTGCAGAGTTTCCCTTATAATAAATTCTATTTTTTAGAATCCAAACAAAACGTGTTTGTTGTTTTCAAGTTTAGCAGTGTAAATTACTTTCTTGTATGTGGTTTGTACAACAGTTATTTGAGAAGTTATTTTGGGCTCATACTGTAGAAAAAAATGCTATTTTATCTTGACAACTTAGGATGCTTGCTTGAAATTCTTTGATAATTTAAGGGGAGCAACAGTGCCAACTGTAAGCCTGCGAAAGCAAAAACTAGTTGGCTGATTATCACTTTGCAGTAAACATACTGTACAGCTCTTGTATTATGCAAAAATAATTATACCAACAATGATTGTGATTTATTCAAGGCAGTTTATCCATTTTTAACCCTATTATAAAACCTAAAAGTGAGCAAGACACAAACAATGCCGTCTCTGTAGGTAGATTTATAAAGCTTCAAAAGCGGCTTTACAGTGATGGTATATCATGAATTATACTGCCCCTTTATGACCACACTTTCTTTTAAGAACCACTATGAGATCCTGACAGGCTCAAATAAATCACCGGCGCATCTATATTATGAACAATTGTAATACTGTATGAACTTGAACCTGAGGGACATTATTTAGGCCAGCTCTAACCATACATTTTCAGTCGTCTCCCTCTTCTCTGTATATAAAGAGAAATATAAATACATAAGCAAAAACCTGTTTAGATTGTTTCTAGGTTCTGTGAACTTGGCTATTTTTCTATTCACAAAGAACATCTTTTTAGATAAAAGTTTGGATCTTTTTGTCTTTCCCTCATGAAAGACAGCAAAAAGTCTGTCTTGCCCATTGCTCGACATTGATGTCCTGGTTTATTTGGCTTTAGATGTTCTTCATGTTCAGGCATTGAAAGGAAACACACTGCCCTAATGTAACAACATCCCTGTGAAAGTGGAAGTAAGTAGTACTGTATATATCTCAACTGTATCTGGGAAGGAAAGAACATAATAAAAACAAAATGTTCTTTAACAGCTATCATGCCAGGGAGAGTTCTCCCATAAAACATTACACATATACTGTATAGTGATCTAAAAAAAAGAATTCCAAAATAAATATTTATTCAATTATTCAAGCAAATCTGTTCTACTATGGACAACTTTTTGAATTTTATTATTCTGCAGCCAATAGCAGGTCTTAAACACATTACAAAATATTAATTGCGACAATGCTTTACTGAGGTCTTCATATGGATTCTGGATGAGTGATAAAGTGACCTTATCTGTTAGCAGAGTCACCACTAGGTACTAAAGTTCCAAGTTCAGATATGAATCTACGTCTCAAAAAATAACCAAGTCCCACCCCCCCTTATCCAAGTGCAATGCAGCTGAATCGAATATTAGTCTTTTTCTCTAAGAAAGCAAAAAGAGAAGAAAAGAAAGCATACACAGATTTCTTGGGGCCTGAGGCACTAAAGTAATCCTGCTGTGAAAACGACATGGCACGTTACCAAGTGAGAAATGACTGTCACCTCCTGTACCTCAAAGCAAAATCCCACTGATTTTTTTAGACTTCTGAGCTACATCCAGCCACTGTATATAATTTAAGACAAACACCTGTTTCTGAGATGATGTTCTTCCACATTCTTTCTAATAAATGAATTAATAAGCGATATATCCACCTGTGCTTTCCTCATAGTCTAAAAAAAATATTTATACAGTATGTATGCAGAGAGGAACTGAAACAAAAACTATGTATCACTTTAATGCCTGTCAGGATATACTCTCACCAATTCAGTATATTTCTGTAGGAGCCCATGAAAAATACCAACTGAAGCGAAGCAAAAGAACAACATACCTGTACCACATAAGGAAATTAGATCTCAAACACTAAGGTCGTGGTTACAGGGCCACAGGTATTGTCCTACAGTATTCTACAAGGCCTACAAATACCTTATTATTGGCATCTCCTTCAAACTGTAATATACAGGTCTTGGGGTACTGCACCAACAAAACACAACTTGTTGAAAAAAAAACTAAAGCTAGCTGCAGCTACCACTTGACATCTAATTTTAAAAGGCCACTTAGAATGGTCATTTTTCCAAACTATTCAATTGCATAACACTCCTATACATCAAAATTTATTTACAGTACAGTGCTCACACCTGAAGAAGGCTCCACGGCCGAAACATTGTGTTTTCTTTCTTCTTTTTTGCAGCATGGAATAAACCTATTACTTGTTTCTTTGCAGCCTACACATGGTGATGCAGCTACCCACCTGAACTACTATATTTACAGTACTGTACATTTGTCATGATCACTCCTCTTACCCAAATAAAATGTACAGTATTATAACACTAACTTTCAAGCTGTTTTTTAAAATTGTGAAAGGTGTGTCTAAATTTATCTTTACCATAATTCCTCAAATGGAACCTGACTCAAACTACTGCTAAGATGATGCTGATGAGGTTCTGCTTTGTCACAGATCATTCCATTTTAAAGTTGTTATAAGACATCAGAGAGCACAACTTATCACCAGTCTCGGACAATAATTTTATATGAGTTTTAGGCTTCATGTTTAATATGGGAACAGAACTGAAGAACATAAGAATACTTATATGAGCACAGGTAGAAACATCATGAATGAAACATCTTCATCAATGAGGATGTGCTAATTAAGAGCAATATTAGTGAGCTAATTTGAGTAATTAGGAGAAATAATTCTGTTGTATTTTTTCTCATCTAAGCCCCCTGATTGCCTTGGTGAGCTCTAGTAATTCACATGGCACCATTTAAAGGTTTCGGTACAAATTATGCAAATGCTCAATACAGTATTTTAATAAAACATGGCTCAGAGTAAAAACCGCAAGATAATAACTGCAAAGAAAAAGCCATCTGAACAAATATGACTCTATGGAGAATAGCTGTAAGAAATCTGTTGTGAACTCATCTTGAATTTTGCAAAGCAATTTATAATGCTATGTTGCCTCCAGTAACACATTGTTTCTGGAGTTTGATTAATACTATCACATTAAAGCTGGAGGTAGAATAAAACAGAGACTTTTTCTCCAATGGCATCAGCATTACAATTGAACTCTTCCACATCTCAGGGACTGTTTCTCTTAAATGTGTTAGGTTGACAGCTTCTGAAGCAACCTTGTCTTGTTTGTTAGGGATGTGCTGTAAATTATAACTGTTCTGGCTGTGGGAAATGTCTGTAATGAAAGCTCATCACAGATATACTGTAGCTGTAATTCTCACTGCAGATGAGATGGGTGCATTAATAACTAATCGGATTGTATGACATATTCCTGGGACTTTCTGGAAAAGTTGTCAAAGTAAAATATTCAGTCACAAATGTATTTTCATTTTTGCCCCTGAATGTTGATTTGTTAGACAAATAAAATACTGCTTTGCCCCAGTAAGCCATCCTAATTACCTGTCTACAATCGCACAGGTACATTCTTTGGGGTTTTTAAGGGGAGTGAACAGACTATAATTAAGAATGGTCTTCCACAATTTCAGAGCAGAAACCTTACATGTTTCTACAATATGCGATTCTATACAAATAAACTTAGACGGTTAATATTGTTTTTGTGACAGATTTTTATGTTTACCTAATTAAGACTCCATGCAGATTTCTGA